CATTTAATTCTGAGGAAAACAGTGACTTTTCAAAAAGTAATTAATTTAGAATAGTTAAGTTTTCTGCTGTGCATGGTGTCACTATGAGTGGGAAACGACTCGATGGCACTTAACAACAACAACACATTTTATGAATTTGCATCTGCTATAAATTTGATTTTTCTGTTTAGATATATTTTATTGATTAAATAGTGCATTTAATGAATATATAATAGGTGTTGTAAATATATAAGTAATGACCATATCATGCACATTACAATAGAAATATGATTATAATCACATTTCTGAGTGTGTAAATAATAGCCTTTTGTTCTCTTCTTGTATAACCTCTAAAAACAGAAGTAATATTACACTTGTCCATAAACTAATCTTTGGGAATATATAGCTCAGATAATGGTTCATTTCTTCAGTATTCTCTGATGGTCTGTGTCATCTCCTTTGCTTTTTAGGAGTTTATAATCAATGATCAGGTATTACAAGATAAAATATGTTCACTGTTGAATAAGTTCTTCTTGTTTTCACATCCAACAGAAAAATGTATGAGTACTGTATCTTTGATTTTAATTTAATGTTATAAACAAAAACATCATACATTTTTATTTGTGTTCAGACTTATCCTTTTGGTTCTAGACTTATAGTCCAACTACACCTTCAACTTCTCCCTTTAGATGTCCTAAGGTGTTTTGGCTACCTTTAGTGCTGCTCTAACAGAAATACTACAAATCTCTGGCTTTAACAAACAGAGGTTTATTCTCTTACAGTTTTGGAGGCTAGAAGTCTGAGTTCAAAGTGCCAAGCTCTAGGGCTGGTTGAAAGCCCCTCAACCTTGGGCTTCAGCTCTGCCTCTTGCTTCTGGCCCTCTAGAACTAGAGGCGTGTCTTCACTCAAGCAGCTGCTGACTGCTGAGGCTGATAAACCCAAAGTCAACAAGTAAAATGACACAGTCGCAAAATTACCAGACCATATGGCAGGCCACTAATTTAAGACCATTAACAGTCCCAAGATTGGCAGACAACATGTCAGGCTGCTAAACATCTACTCAGCTACATGCAGGATTCAAACATTCCAAAAGTTAGAGACCATTCCCAAAATTTCTCCTTATGTACTGGAAGCAGACCACAACCCTAAAGCAGCTAGTCAGCTGCTTGTGGCAGATCCCACCATGGAGTTAATTTAAATTCACTGTTGTCAGGTCAGTCCCAACTCATAGCAACCCCTCCTTGGCTTTCCAAGGCAGTATGACTACAGAAGTAGATTGCCCAATCTTCCTTCCGAGAGGTGGCTGGTGGGTTTGAACCACCAGCCTTCTAGTTAGCAGTCAAATGCGTTAGGCACTATGCCACCAGAGCTACCCGCCCCCTCCTATATCAGGAAAAGGAATTCCCTCAGGAAACTCAGAGTCATCATTGATACTTAGTCTCCTTCATCCACTCCTGTGCCTTATTTCCATTCACTCACGAAGTGAATTAGAGCAGTGGTATTTCAGTGGTAGAATTCTCGCCTTCCATTTGGAAGACCTGTGTTTGAGGCCTGACCAAAGCCCCTCAGTATCTGTCAGTGGTAGTTTGTGTCTTGCTGTGATGCTGAACAAGTTTCAGAGGAGCTTTCAGACTAAGACTGACTAGGAAGAAATGCTTGTTGCTGCCTCCAAAAATCACAACAATTTGATTCAGAACCAATCATGAACCTTGTGCAGTACTGGGCAATCTCTCTCTCTCTCTGTCTCTCTCTTTCTCTCTCTCGTTACCATTTGTTGATTTTTAGCCACACTTAGATAAATTATTGGAAAGTCAGTTTAAGCTCTTCAGAGTTCAAAGGTTCCGTGGAGACTGGAAAGATGAAATACATGAGCTAAGAATAGTGTCTAAATATTCCAAGTGAATTATTTCTCCTATTGCCCTATGTCTAGGTGTCACCAAATACTGGACTTCTAGTATGTCCCTGAAAAGATCATTCTCTTTGTGCTCAATGTTCCACTCTCCAAACTCCAGTTCAGTAAATTCTGATTAATTCAGTAAATACCAATTCCTTAAAAGGCACAGTGTTGGTCTGCAATGTGCAGAAACACACATGCTCCTTGCTCTTATTATGCTTGTCATTAGGAAGAGACACAGTCATTTACCACATAATCAAACTGCTGATTTTATAATTATAATCTGAGGTAAGGACTCAGAAGGAAAAGTTTAGGAATCTGAGATATTAAATAAAGGAAACCAATGCTGGCTTGGAAGGTGAGGGAAGGTTTCCTTGAAAATACACTGCTTGCTATCAAGCCAAAATATGAATAGGATATAACAAGACTAAGGACAATAATTGGTAGCTAGTTGAGAATCAGGGAGAAGTCCCATGACTCAGGTGAAAGACGAGGATAGAGTGGTGGACAGGGCCTTACAAGCCATTATGAGAATTCTAGATTTTGCACAAGAAAAATGGGGAAAAAATATTCATAGATGATGGTGAAAAAAAAAAGCACACCTGGAGAGATGAGGTAGGATCTTATGTGCAGGCTTTTTCTTGTGCTAGATAACTTATACATAAGATACTAACATATGTGCTTCTTGATCTTTTCTGCACTGTCGCCTTCCAAAATTAGTTCTGTCTTCACTCAGAACAAGGGGATATTTTGTTTAGCTCCCAATGGGGGGCTTCAGATATTGCACAGGAATACAAGTCTGAAGTGCTTAAGGAAATTAAGGTCCATAATACAGACACTGAAATGCTCAACTTCTCATTAAACAGAAAAATAAAAAAGAAGGAAGCTAAGAAGAAGGAATCAAATTGGGGCCTCCCTTAGAAATGAGGTGGACTTGAGGATGAGATTAGGGCCCATTAGGCAACTGTTATACTACCTCTGCAACTATCAACATTTCCTGGTTGATGAATCTACCCAAGAACAGTGAGGTAGCTATTTCTGAAAATCTGGACTTGATAAGTCTTGTTTCAATTCTATCCCTTTCTAACTGCAATCCACATGTAAAAACTTCAGAGGTTTTATCTTTAGTGATCATATAACAAAGAGGAAATTACCCCACATCCAGAATTGGAATTCAGAATGAAATTTCCCATCAAAGTAATGTTATAAACATTACCCACAAATCATGGTGGTGTGTATTTTTGCATACTTGATCAGGATTTTCAAGATATATTCACCATAACACCATCACATGATATGACTGCATGTTCTCAGCACCATTCCCATTGCTTCCCATGGAGCTACATTTCCAATGTTCTTGTTTTAAAAATCGCAGCCAGTTTGGTTCACCATTGTCTATCAATTTATGTACTGTGATATCTTGAGTGTTTCTGTGGTGCTGAAAGCTATACCACTGGTATTTCAAATATCAGCAGAGTCACATATGGTGGGAAGGATTCAGTGGTGCTTCCAGACTAATGCAGACTAGGAGGAAGAATTTGGTGACCTACTTCTGAAAAAAATTAACCAGTGAAAATGTCATGGATAGCAGTAGAACATTGTCTGATACATTGCTGGAAGATGAGGCACTCATAATATGAGTAGCAAAGAGCTGCCTGCTCTAAGGAGAGCTGACTTCAATGACGTGGATGGAGTAAAGCTTCCAAGACCTTCATTTACTGATGTGGCACAACTCAAAATGAGAAGAAACAACAGCAAATATCCATTAATAATTGGAACATGGGATGTCCAATGTATGGATCAAGGAGAAGTGGAAGTTGCCAAAATGATATGGAAAGCTTAAAGATCAATATTCTAGGCATTAATGAGCTGAAATGACTGGTTGGCAATTTTGAATCAAACAGTCATGGTCTGCTATGCCAGGAATGACACACTGAAGAGGAACAGCCTCGTCAAAAAAGTATATTTCAAGATCTGCCCTTAAGTACAATGCTATCAGTGATAGGATAATATACATATGCTTACAAGGAAGACCAGTTAGCACAACTATTTTTCAAATTTATACACAAACCTCTAATGCTAAGGATGAAGCTATTGAAGTTTTTTTTTTTTTTTTTTTTTTTTTTTTTTTGCCAACTTCTGCAGTTAGAAACTGACCAAGCATACAATCCAGGTGCATTGATTGAAATGTGAAAATTGAAAACAAAGATCAGTAGTTGGAAAATATGTCCTTGGTGATAGAAATGATGATGGAAATTGCATGATAGAATTTTACAAGAACAAAAATTTACTCATCGCAAGTACCTTTTTCTTCAACAACATAAATGGCGACTACACACATGGACCTCACTGGATGGAATACACAGGAATCAAATTGATTACATCTGTGGAGACCCTATGAGGGTCTCCATGGGTGGGAATCAACTCAGGAACAATGGGTTTGGTTTGGTTCTTTTATGCAAAGCTCCTGGCATAATACCAGGCACATCAATAGGTATTTGTCTTCATCGTGATAATCATATTCCAATCTATATCTTTAGGTTTTCACACTTTTTTAATATTTGAAATTAGTAAAATATTCACATTTGCTGACAACTTAGGAGATTGTAGTAGCAAAGTTTACCATAAAAAAAAATGTTTCTCTCTTTTCCCTTTTTGATGAAGTTTTTGACAGCTTGCCACCCATGCGCTATCAGGAGACCATGACTACCATCCTGACGTGGATCCAGCAGTCAGAAGCAAAACTGTCTATACCTCACATTAATGTCACTGAATATGAAATCATGGAGCAGAGACTTGGGGAGTTGCAGGTTTGTGAATATTTTATTCTCATAAACAATACAGTGTGGATATCATTTACCAAACAATGATTTTGAT